CGCTAGCTTCTCCTCACTCATGTATGCTGCCATCAGTGTCTCCAAATGGCCTGATGCAGTGCAGCATGTGATCCAGTTCCATCTCTCTCCTTATTTCTCTTCCCAAAACAATTTTTGATCAAATTCTTTATCTTCTTTTAGGGGCTCAGAGTTCCAGGATTGTCACCTGTATATGTTTCACTCGGTAATTCAGGTCTTTGTTGTAGATGGTTTGGGTGAAGTGTGTCACCAAGACACATCTGTCTCCAACCCCTCAAAGTGTTTCTTTCCTTTTGTTTCTTTCCAGGTATTCTCTTTGTCTTTGATTTTCTAGTATTTGATATCAATACATCTAGGTGAATTGTCTATTTTTTTTTGCTTTGGTATTTGACCTGTTGCTTGTCATTCTCTTTGATTTTTTGATCTGTGCTTTGTTATCTGTCATTAATTTGGGGAAATTATCAGTCAATTTTCTTCAAAAAATTTCTTCTATCCATTTCTTTCTCTTTGCTTTCTGACATTCCCATTACATGTATGTTATTCCTTTTGCAATTATCCATCAGTTTTTACCTATTCTGTTTCAGTGTTTTGTTCCTTTTTTCCTTTCTTGTTGTTTCTCGGTTTGTGAAGTTTCTATTGACATACCTTTAAGACGACTGATTCTTTCCTTGGCTGTGTCCATTAGGTCTACTGATGAGTCTGTCAATGGCATCCTTCATTTCTGTTACAATGTTTTTGATTTCTAGCATTTCCTTTTTTTTCTTTCTCAGAATTTCAATATCTCTGTTTACATTACCCATGTATTCTTGCACATTGTCCATATTCTCATTAGAAACCTTTGCGCATAATTTACAATTATTTTAAATGTATGATCTAATCATCCTAAAATCTGTCATATCTGAGTTTAGTTCTGTTGCTATTATGATTTTACACATTGTGTGGGGTTATTTGTTTGTTTTTTTGCCTAATAGCACGCTTCATAATTTTTGATAAAAACTATATATAATATATCAGATAAAAGGAAATGAGGTAAACAGATGTGAGGTTTCATATCTAGCAAGGAGTTAGGTTTTGTTTTCTGTTTGTGGTAGCTTTATGTGTCAGGTTAAAATGTACTTTGGTGTGCTTCTTATTTGCCTCTCCTGGTGTCTTTGTTATTGTTGTTGTTAGGCACCAGTGAGTCAGCTCCAACTTGTAGCTACTTTATGCACAAGAGAACAAAACAATGCCCAGTCCTGTGCCATCCTCACAATTGCCTTTAATTTTTCCCTAAATGCTTCTTAGATAGATTCTGAGCCTTGCTGTTCTTTTCACCTCTAATCTTCTCTTAGACCCTTATATGGAAAAAAAGGCAGCCTCAGGATTGGAAGAAGACTCATTTACAACCTATGGTGTCCACATGACACTACCTTGCTTGCTGAAAGAGATGAAGACATGAAGTACTTACTAATTACAATCAAAGATACAGCATTTAATATGGATTACCTCGCAACATAAAGGTTTGAAAAGAAAAAAAAAAATCCTCAAAACTGGACAAATAAATAACATGATAAATTTAGGAAAATACTGAAATTGTTAATGATTTTATCTTACTCAGATCTACAATCAATGCTCATCAAAGAAGCAATCAGGAGATCAAATGACGCATTCTATTAGGCCAAAGTACTCCAAAAATCCTTTTTAATGTGTTAAAAAGCAAATATGTCACTTTAAGGAATAAGGTGTGTCTGACCCAAGCTATGGTATTTTCAGTCACCTCATTTGCATGTGAAAACTGGGCAATGAATAAGGAAAACAGAAGAAAAATTGATGACTTTGAGTTATTGTGTTGACAAAGAATATTGAATATACCATAGATTGATAGAAGGACAAACAAATCTGTATTGAAAGAAGTAGAGCCAACATGTTCCTTAGATGTGATGATAGCGAGGCTTGTCTCACATGCTTTGAACATGCTATCAGGGGAAACCAGTTCCTGGAAAAGGACATCATGCTTGGTAAAAGAGAGGGTCAGTGATAAAGAGGAAATCCCTCAACAAGATGTCTGATAGTTACTGTAGCAATGGCTTCAAGCATAGCAACGATTGTGAGTATGGTGCAGGACCAGAGAGCAATTCATAATAGAGTCATTGTGGGTCAGAACTGTCTCAACAATACGTAACAACTGTAGCAGCAACATCTGATCTGGGACCTGAGGTGGTTTCTCCATCTGTTGTTGTTGTTGTTGTTGTTGTTGTTGTTGTTGTTGTTAGGTACCATAAAGTTGCTATTTACTCATTGTGACCCTATGCACAACAGAATGAAACACTGCCCAGTCCTGGGCCAACTTCAAAATCATTGCTAAGTTGGAACCCATTGATGCTACCACTTTGCCAAACCATCTCGTTGGGGGTCTTCCTCTTTTTCTTTGGCCCTCCACCTTACTAAACATGATATCCTTCTCCAGCCACTGGCCCCTCCTGACAATATGTCCAAAGTATGACAGATAAAGTTTGGCCATCCTGGCCTCCAAGGAACACTCAGGCTGCACTTCTTCCAAAATAGATCTGTTTGTTCTTTTGGCAGCCCATGGCACTTTCAATATTCTCCTCCAACACCAAAACTCAAATGCATCAATTCTTTCTACGGTCTTCCTTATTCACTGTCCAGCTTTCACATGCATATGAGGTTATTGAAAATACCATGGCTTGAGTCAGGCGCACCTTAGTCCTCAAGCTGACATCTTTGCTCTTAAACACTTTAAAAAGGTCTTATGCAGAAGATTTTCCTAATGCAATACATCATTTGATTTCTTGACTGCTGCTTCCATGAGGGTTAATGGTTGACCCAAGAAGAATGAAGTCCTTGACAACTTCAGTCTTTTCTCAATTGATAAGAATGTTGTTTATTGGTCCAGTGGTGAGGAATTTTGTTTTCTTTACATTGAGATGCAATCCATACTGAAAGCTGTACTCATTGATCTTCATCAGTAAATGTTTTAAGTCTTCTTCACTTTGAGCAAGCAAGGTTGTATCATCTGCATATTGCAGGTTGTTAATGAGTCTTCCTCCAATCCTGATGCCACGTTTTTCTTCACAGAACCCAGCTTCTCGAATTATTGGCTCAGAACTCCGGTAGCGTAGTGGTTACAAATCGGACTGTGAACCACAAGGTCAGTAGTTCGAAGCTACCAGCTGCTCCGTGGGAGAAAGGTGAGGCTTTCTGCTCCCGTAAAGATTTACAGCCTTAGAAATCCTGTTCAGGGTCGCTATGGGTCGGAACCGACTCAACGGCACTTAACAACAACATACAGGTAGAATCAGTATGGTGAAAGAATACAACCATGTTTCACATCCTTCTTCATTTTGAAACATTCAGTGTTCACATGTTCTGTTCGAACAACTGCCTCTTGGTCTGGGTACAAATTCTTCATGAACACAATTAAGTGTTCCGGAACATGCATACTTCGCAATGCTGTCCATAGCTTGTCATGATCCACACAATCGAAAACCTTTTCATAGTCAATAAAGCACAGGTAAACATCTTTCTGATATTCTCTGCTTTCCGCCAAGATCCATCAGACATCAGCAATGATATCCCTCATTCCACAGCCTCTTCTGAGTCTGGCTTTAACCTCTGGAAGTTCTCTGTCAATGTATGATTGTAGCCATTTCTGTATTACTTTTAGCAAAACTTTACTCACATGGGATATCAAAGATACCATCCAATGATTTCCACATCCTGTTGGGTCATCTCTCTTTGGAAGAAATTCAAATCTCTTCCAATCAGTCAGCCAGACAGTTGTCTTCCAAATTTCTTGGCATAGATGAGTGAGTGCATCCTGTGCTGCCTCACTTTCTTGAATCATTTTAATTTTTATTCCATCAATTCCAGGTGCCTTGTTCTTTGCCAATTCCTTCAATGCACCTTGGATGCCTTCCTTCAATATAATTGGCTCTTGATCATATGCTACCTCTTGAAATGGTTGAACATGAACCATTTCCTTTTGGTACAGTGACTCTGTATATTCCTTCCATCTTCTCTTGATGCTTTTCTGCATCATTCAATAATTTTCCCAGAGAATCTTTCAATAACGAAAGTCGAGGCTTGAATTTTTTTTTTTGTTTCCCCCAGCTTGAGAAATGCTGAATGTGTTCATTCTTTTTGGTTTTCTGATCCAAGATTTTTGCACATTTTGTTGTAATATTTGGCTTTATCTTCTTGAGTGGATCTTTGAAATTTTCTGTTCAGCTCTTGGACCTCCTCATTTCTTCCATTTGCTTTAGCATCTCTACACTGGAGAACAAGTTTCAGTGTCTCTTCTGACATCCATTTTGACCTTTTCCTTTTTTATTGTCTTCTTAATGACTTTTTACTTTCTTCATATATGATGTTCTTGATGTCATCCAGCAGCTCTTCTGGTCTCCAGTCTTTAGTGTCTAATGTATCAAATCTGTTCTTCAGATGATCTCTAAACTCAGGTGGAGTTTATACTAAAAATACAGAGTTCCCCTATCTGCCCCTGGCCTTGTTTTGGCTGATATATGGAGATTTTCCACCGTCTCTTTCCACAGATGTAGTGTATAGTTGTCTTTTATGTTGTTTGTGTATAGTTGTCTTTTATGTTGTTTGAAAAAGGTATTTGCAATTCTCTCTCTGTCATACTATATTTTTCTGTGTCTTCCAGGTAAACAGTTCTGTGTCTCCAGGTACTGTTCAGAGAAGTAGTTTGCCCTATGACCAAATTCTCTGATGGATCTAAGAATTCTTGATTTTAAGTTTTCAGTTTTTTTGTGTGTGTGAATGGAAGTGACAACTTTTAAGCTCTTAACATGTCATATTGGAAATGAGAAGTTTTATTCTAATTAAATTCTCTATTATAAAGCTCTAGATTATGTTATTTTTGTGTGTTGTTTAAATTGTTTAAATAATCATGCTTTCATTGAAATTAGAAAATATTATCTTAAGGTCTCTGAAGTCTCTTTGTACATGAGAATATATTCATGACTAGTGTAAAACTACCTTTTGTTTTCTTTTTATAGATTTTCAGTAACAGAACCCCAACAACCTATGCAGAACATGAAATGCGACAAAGTATCTCTATCTGAGATCAGAGCAGAAAAGTGTAACAAAACCTATCAATGGATTTGTGAATTTCAATAAATTCTGTAGAAAATCAGGCTTCATTTTTGTTACTGAAAGACCCCTACTGTTGTTTGAGTACCTATCTCAGAAAAGTCCAGAGGATTTTATGTTTCCTAGAAGAGTGTATGCATTCATTTGTGATGGATGTGTATAACCCTGCTTCTCAGAGGTACAGGAAAATCAATAGAAGACTTAAATGTTATCGAAAATGAGAAGATTGAATGAATATTTTGTTTTCATCTGAAATTTCAATGCTACTATCCAATCATCATAGTATGCTTTTTTCCTGTTTATAAAACTTCAATTTTCTCTATCTTGTCTATATGTCTCTTAATCGATAGCATTTGCTAATATCATCCGTTCTTACACTTTTCATTATTAAATACAAAACAGTGCAGATCAAATACATATCTTTTGTCAAGATCTCTTCCTGATTACCAGGACTATATATTAGATTGCCTCTTTACATTTCAAATCTCAAAAGCACTTCAAACTCAACACATAAAAATAACTCATTTGCTTTCAAAAGAAGAGTCAGTTTTATCATCTTGCTTCAGATGTTTAACAAACTGTACTTCTTCTTTTCTTTCTCCTCTCAAATGTAGACATCCAATTTCTTTTTAGCATGTGTCTCCAGTGCTTCCTGGACTTTGGTGAGAGAAAGGTTACCAAGATTCCCATGCCTAGATGCAGCCATACCCTCTTGAACAAGGCGGGTAATATAAAAAAGTCCTTTGCAGATATCCGACGCCAGGAGATAGTTGGAATAGGCTATTGATGCCCATGTCATTTAATTAACAGACGTTATCTGGAGATGAGCAATTCTTCCTCTAAAGTCATCTGAGATGAGAAAGTGACTAATTTACAATTGAGAGAGACTCTGTCCTCCTGCGGATATCCTGAACTTCAACAATAATCAAATCATGTCATGAAACCACTATGAAGCCCTCTGCCATTCTCAGATAGATGATAAGAGAACTTCTTCACTCTAACTCTGACCTGCCTAATTTGTTCCTCTTGGAAGGCAATATTATATTCTATTTTGAAAATTCCCACCTTTTCAGGTGTTTCTCTGTGCTTAAATAATAGCTGCATCTTTGAGAGAAGGATACAAGAAAAAAAAAGAGAGAGAGTGAGAGAAGCAATATCTTCTAAGGAGTTGGCCTGGAATTCCATAAATTGTGTGATATTTTTCACAAATGTTAGCAAAATTGGATTTCTTTGTAGAGGGTATAGTAGCAGAAGGAGGAGTCTGACCCAACACAAAATTAGGTGACGGATTTGATGATCCATATGCTACTCATTTAAAAGCGTTCATATTGTGTCCACATTAAAAAGTCACTGGAAGCACAATGACCACCGAGAACTTATGCTCCAGTGTAGAGTTCTAGGACTGCATCCAGAACTATGTGACAGTTACAAAAATTACTTCTGGGTTGGGGGAAGCACAACGACAGGAATGTAACCTCCACTGCTCATCCTAGTTGACCCCTCCAGCCTTTCTGGGGATTCTAGATTCCTCCACATTTCTCTGGGCTTTTTTTACTTTAAGTTTAGTTCAACCTATCTATATATTCCACCTGTAAGTTAGATATTAACTGATTCCCCTTTATCCCTTGTAAATATCTTCTTGAAATTCACTTTATACTTCCAGTTTCCTCTGTTCTCAACCCAAACTTCCACACATAATCTGTTTTGCCTGACTTCATTCCACAAACTGAACTCAACCCCCCTCTAAACTTCCATTTTACAAAAGAAATTAGTGAACAGCATGGTGGTTGTGGTGATGGTTGTATTGAGTTGGCTCTTACATATGAGAGAATGAAACGTGGTCCACGATCCTTGGTAAGCTTGGGCCCATTGTTGCAACCATTGTGTCAGTCTCTCATTGAGAGGTTTCTGTTTTTCATTAACCTTCTTCTTGTTGTTGCTCAGTGTCGTGGAGTTGGTTCCAATTCATAGCTACTCTGCATAGAGTTTCCAAGGCTGTAAATCTGCGCAGGAACAAAAAGTTCCTTTCTTTTTAGATTAGAAAAGTCTAATCTTTCACCTGTGAAGTGTCTAGTGCTTATCCTACAGAGCTCCCATGCTCCCATTAGCCCTCTACTCTACCAGAAATGATGTTTTCCAGGGACTGGTCCTTCCTGGTGGTCTATTCAAAATAAGCAAGATAAATTCTATCCATCCTCTCATATAAGGAGCATTTTGTCTTACTCTCTCTAGGACAAGGATACTTCCACAATGAATAGTTCCTTGGTTTTCCCGATATACTTTCTACCTTTTCATGAAAATAGGTTTTACCTTCTCAATACTTGCTTTTTCAGAATTTGAATAAAATATATCAGTAATTGCATTTAATGCAAATAGAAAAAATACCTCCATGAAAAACAAAATTGCCAGATTGTCTTCATAAAACAGGAAAAAAACAAAAAACAAACCTTCCTCAACAACACATAGAGTAATCAGAAAAATAATTAGTTATCATGCAACAATTTTGAAAGCATAGTTAATAAGCAGGTCCTGCCTGCTGTGAGTTAAAGCGCCACACTGCAAAGCCATTTGAACTGCAAGGTTGGCAGTTAAAGCTCACCAGCTGTTCCTTGGAAACCTATACAGGGTTGCTATGGGTTGGAACTGACTCAACAACACTTAACAACAACAACTAACAGATAGAAAAGTACAGTAACCGTGGTTTTACAATGTACCTAATGGGGAAATATTTCAGGTATCTCTAGACTGACTTGCTCAAATTCTGTCCAGGAACCAAAACAAGCAGTGCAGATTTTCTCCTGCAGATGGAACCACTAAACAAAGGAACTCTTAGAAAGGGATCATTAGAAACTTTCCCTTATGCTGTCTCTATAGTCTCCTCAAACACTGGATCAACTATGAATATTAACATCAGTAACTGACTTCCCTGATATGGCTTACAGATGACAAAGGAAGAATTTTATAAAGCAATGAGCAGACATCATATAAGAAGTTTAGAGAATGAGTCAAAGGCACTTAACTTTCATTTGTTTTGTTTTTTTTAAATCCTGGCACCATCAGAAGCTATCTCCAGGGAAGCTGAAGTATAGAAACATAAATTTGACCTGTTCTTGGGCCCAGGAACCTGACACTATAGTCCCTGGGGCTTACAGAAAAAAATGGGAGAGGTTTTACATATGAGGAGGGCTAAGGTATGGAGGGAGAGGGGCCAAGGTCCTGCAGCAGGCAAGCTGTGGGTGGATAATTCCGGAAACAAATGTGTCTCAGAAACTGTGAGAACTGGATATAAGAGGATTCATAGTGAAGCGCAGACAGTGCAATACAGGCACAGCAGTAAACCAACACAACATTGTGTTCCACTTTCTCCTCACTCATGGACATCACCATGTTGCTATTCAATGTATTTATTATTTTGGAATCTTGGTATGGCTCTGTTGGATAAGCATTGGACTGCTAACCACAAGGTCAGCAGTTCAAAACCACTAGACACTCCTTGAAAATCCTATATAGGGTCTCTACGAGTACAAACTAAATGGATGGCATGTAGCAGCAATATTTGCCATTTTACTGGCACATGACATTCATTTGAGTGATAATCAACATTTTATATGAGCATTATATTTGGGGGTATATTAGTTATTGCTAATTTTTTGCTACTATAAACAAATTTGAAATGAAAACCAAAATGGCTATCCATTATGAGCTTGCTAATTTATCAACTGCATATTTTCTAATAATAGAAAGCATTTCACTTAAATGCCTCTTAGAAGAAAATTGATTTGACCTTATAAATAGATCACATTTATAAACCTGTAGAATTTTTTAAAGTCTTAAGATTAGCAATAGGATGTGACTCTATGATTTATTATTATTTGTGAATTCACAATCTCAAGTAGTGTATATATACTGAACATATGTTTTTTAAAAGGGTATATAAATAAATGAAAATGAGGAATGGGTCACACTGTTACAGAATCTTATAAATAATTGTTCAGTAGTAATGCCAATTTTATGTTAAAAGACTATCAGTTGAATATAGTATATCATATACCTAGTGTAGAAGCCCAATGGAACAATGATTAAACACTAAATACTAACAGAAAGTCAGGAGTTCAAAATCATCAGCAGGTCTGTGGGAGAAAAGACTTGGTGATCTGCTTCCAGAAAGAAAACAAATCTCCTTGGGACAATTCTATTCTGTCAGTTTAGGGTCATTATTAGTTAGAACCACCATTCATCTGTCCATTTGTCATATTGTGGTGGGTTGCATGTTGCTATGAAGCTGGAAATGATGCCACAGGTATTTTAAGTACCAGCAGGGTCATTCATGATGAACAGGTTTAAGCAGAGCTTCCAGATTGAGACAGACAAAGAAGAAGGAGAGGCTCATTACTTTTGAGTGTTTATTCACGGGAAACCTTATGAATAGCTGTGGAACACTGTCAGATATAGTGCCAGAAGATGGAAACATAATAGATAGCAGCTGAGTTTTATCAGATATAGTGCCAGAAGACGAACCCCTCAGGTTGGAAGACACTAAAAATACAACTGGGGAAGAGCTGCCTGTTCAAAGTAGTGTTGAGCATAATGATGTGAATGGAACGAAGTTTTCAATACCTTCATTTGATGATGGGGCACAACTCAAAATGAGAGACAGCTTTGAGCATCCGTTGATAATCAGAACATAGAATGTACAAATTATGGAACAAGGAAAACTGTAAGTTTTCAAAAATGAAATACATAAAAGTTAATATTCTATATATTAGTGAGCTGAAATGAACTGGTATTGGTCATTTTGAGTCAGACCATCATAGAGGAAGAAAGTAAAAGATCACTAAAAAGAAAGAAAAGACCAAAATAGATGTCAGAAGAGACTTGGAAACTTATTCTTGAGCAGAGAGAAGCTAAAGCGAATGGAAGAAATGAGAAAGTAAAAGAGCTGAACAGAAAATTTCAAA